GGGGGGGGTAGGGGCATGGTAGTGTTTGAAGGGAAAAAAAGGAAGAGGCTGGGAAAACAGTAATTTGAACTGGCTTTCAAATGAAAGGAAAAAAGAAAATAATTACATTTTGATTGAAATGCGAAACACTAAACCCCTCCAGACCCTTAGACACTTACAGAAAGGAGACAGCAAATAAGATGGGGAGAGAAAAGAAAACCCAAGCACAGAGCGTTTGAACTACATTTGAGGAAGAAATAGCCACAACAGGAAAACAGGGAAGGGGGGGGGACACACACAAAAAAAAGAATAAATATGTCCCTTACACCCCCACCCCCTACAGGCAAACACTACGCGAAGACAGCCGTACCCGGGCTGTTATTTTTCCGGGTAGGTAACAAAAAGCTGCCACCCCCGGGAACGGCGCTGAACTTCTGCTCGTCCCCCGCCTCGCTCCCGGCCGCGGCCATCGACCCCCGCCCCTATCGCCCCCCACAAGAGAAACACCGATCCCCACAGTCCCCCCCAAACGCAGACACCCCTTCTCCCACGAAACAGGCGATGAGGGGGGCCCGGGAGGGAAACCAGGAGCATCAGTGAACGGAAGGGGTGGAGGGTTAAATCCCCCAGGGGGTGGCCCCCCGATGGGACCCCCAAAGATCCCCGCCGACAACACACGGCATCCCCTCCCCGCTCGTCCGCCGTCGGCCAGGCAGGGCCCCGGCAGGCGGAGAAAGCGGAGAAGGGGGGGGGCGCCCCCCCCAAAATCTGTCGGTGGCGGAGGGGACGACCCCTTCTCCGCGCCCCCACAAAGGGGATTTTGTCCCCCGCGCCCCCCCCCCGGCCCGACGCATCGCGCCCTGCCCTCTCCTCCCCCGCCCCCTCCCCCTCCCTCCGCGCACACAAAGAGCCGGAGGGGCCGCCTTTCCCCCGGGGTTTGCGCCCCAAGATGCGGACGGGCGCCCCCCATACCCACCCTGACGGGAAGGGGGCCGTGTGGGGATGCTGCTCCGCCGGCTGTCAGGGGGCCAGGCGGCCGCGGCAGGGAGGATGACGGAGGATTGGGGAGGGCTGGTGGCGGCCGTGCCCGGCGCGTCCCTCCTTCGCTCGGCTCGGCGCGGCGCGGCGCTGCCTGCCGCCTCCCGCCCGCTCGCCGTCCCCTCTAGCCGGCGTGTGCTCGGCACAGCCCGGTGCTCACCCAGTTTCCATTGAGCCCCGGAGCCAAACCCACTGATGTCACCCAGCGCAGCCCCGGCCCTCCTCCTCCTCCGCCTCCTCCTCCGCCCGCCGTTAAAGGCGCAACCGCCGCCGCTCCCGACGCCTTCCCACCCGCTTGCCTTCTACTCCGGCAAGCGGGGCACACACACACGGGCTGGGATTTGGGGGACGCGACTCCRCTGAAGGTTTTTTCTCAAAATGGGACAACAGCCCACTCCACTGCGATCGGGGGCAGTGGGGCAGCTCCCCACAGGAGGGTGTCTCCGCTTGGGGATGATCAAACGAGGTGCTGGGTCCCATTGCCCTGGCAGTGCATRTCAAACGGGGGTCCATCAGGAAGGCCCATGAGGCCTCAAGCCCACAGTATCAGGGCTTCTCAGTCCACTCCCCTCAGAAATGGGGTCACTACTTCAGTGACGCATTTGCAATCCACACGAATAATGAAGCACACACATAAAAACTAATGTGGACAGACTGAGGTCCACGAGGTACCCACCACTAGATGGGTGCAAAGCTAAGGCTACCCCCCAGGAGTCAGGGGGAGCAGCCAGCATGTATCGGACTTTTATGGGGGTGTAGGAGCAGAGCTCCKGGGAGATTGGGTCTGGATGTGCAAAGGACGATGGAGGAGCTGTTGAGAGCTCTGGGAGCAGGACCGCAGGAAAGGCTGTAGTCCAGTGTAGTGTGAGCTGGAAGACCAGAGGCCTGTAGTGCAAAAGCCAGATGCTGCCCAGCTTTGGAGGCACCAAAGGATGCTTCACTAGGGTTCAGGAACTGCTTTGGCACAGCCATCCCAAAGTCAAGCACCCCAGTTCATGGCTGGAGATAAGTGTGATGGGAAAGAACTCAGGAGCCCCCATACCACAACAGCCTTTAGGTGCTTCTAAGCCAGGACCCTGATGCATGTTTCCAAACACGCAGCGTAAGCACAGAGGCCCAAGAGGCCCAAGCTGCAGCTGTGCTGGCACTGCGCACTGCAGAAAGCAGTCATTGCTTCAAGTCATACCAAGATGGGGAGCTGCAACCTTCTGAATCTCCCTGCCAGCCATTGCCCACAGTGACTGGCCATTGAGTCCTGGGAATAGCTCCTCATTTACGCAAGCCTTAGGGAAACAGTGCTGCATCTCTCTCTCACTGCTGGGCCTGTTTTATTACAGAACTTTGCCTCCACTTGGAGAATTTAAAATTTAATTGAGTTTTTCATAGTAATGACATTTCCTTACACATGCTCCATTGAACCTCTGTTTTTTCACAGCTTATGTAATAGTAAAGCAGATGGGAAGGCAAGTAATAGTATGCAGCCACTGCTGGATCCAGCTGAGGGTTTCTGTCCTTCCCTGGGTGGGTGCACATCAGTGGAGARGGGATTTGCTGAAGCCCAGCACTGCTCATGATTTTGCTGCAAGTGGCAGGCTCATACAGCCACTGAGCAAGGTGGGCTCTGACACAGAGCTGAGAAGGGTGGATTTCAATCGGCATGCAGGAGAAGCAGCTCTCAGAATGCCTGGTGGGAACAGAGTTTGGGGTGACACTGTTTTGCAGGTGTAAGATCTGGGTGGACAGTAGCCATGCCAACTCTCCTCCAGTTGCTGACTGAGGCAGTGGGAGGGAATGTAAAGAAATGTAGATGCAGCCCATGGCAATGAAATTGGAGTGTGTACGGACACTTCAGCTACATTTATTTTAATCATTGACAGCTTAAAATAAGAATCCTTAATTAGAAACATTCCCTTAATTGAATTGTAATCAAGCATTTAGTGCTGGCTAGCCATGTGATCTGTTGTCTTAGTTTGAAAGACAGGTGCTTGCCAATGAAGGCAAGG